TATATTATATATTAATTAATTGTAATTTATCATTAATAATCATAATTCATAGTTCATAAGTCAGCTTCTTGAATCTCTGTTCTCCAGTTATATCAAGTCAAAATAAAAGATTCTAGATATGGACGTGACTCATTTAATTATATGATTATATTAAAATTTGATAGATATGAAAATTTGAAGCAAAGGCGTTGACGTTGACCTAATCTTTAAACTTTGAAAAACGAAAAATTCTGGATAATCGATTATGGTTTCCTTAAATGAGTAGATGTTCATTGTTTCGCGTTTCTTGTTCATGGCTGAATGTTGGTTGTATTGTATTTGTTGGGATAAAAAATAAATAAATGATTGATATAAATGAATGTTTTTTTTCGTAACTTTTAGTAGACGATTTGCTATTTTAAACGATGTTGAAACAAGATTTTCTTGGTAGAAATTTAGTAAATGAAATTTTAAGTACATGTCGACTATCATATTTAAGATTCGATAAATGTTTGCCTACTCTTCACTTCATATGTTTAGGCCCCGTACAAAAATCTTGATAAATTAATCATGCGATCTGAATTTCTGATTGTCTTTGATAATTTCCTGTCTGTTTATCAGACTGCTGCAGAGCTGGAAAAACGTCGAGAAAATTTCACAAAGGAGCTAGATTTTGTCTTGGCTGATGTGGTATGATTTTTTTTTCTTTTAAGGGTTAATTGTTTTTTTTTTATTCTTTTTTAGTTTGAGGTAATTTAATATGACCCGTTTTTGTTCGTTGAATTTTTTTCTGATTATATTTGTTACATAGGTAATGGCAATTATTGCGGATTTCATGCTTGTTTGGCTGCCTGCTCCGACAGTTTCTCTCCGAGCACCTCTTGCAGTAAATGTTACCGGTCTTAGCAAGTTCTTCTACGGCTGTCCCGATAATGCTTTTCAGGTTAATTAATTACTTTAATTTTTCAACATATTTATATATTATATATATATATTTTATACATATTACTTGTTAGTAAATAACTTTTGGTGATTTTAAAGGTTGCATTGGCGGGTACATCGTACTCCTTTTTACAAAGGATTGGAGCAATAGGGGTACGGAATTTTCTTGATTTCAACAATAATGAACTACCATAACCCCTAATATATTCAGTTAAATGAATTTAAAAGAATTTGTGGGGTTTTTTTTTACTGCAGAGAAACGGGGCGAAGCTCTTTGTAGTTGGGACCGGTGCTTCTCTCGTAAGTTTGTTTTATAAACTGCAGAAACCAATTTTTTTGCACGGATCTTGGTCTAGCATGCAATTTAATTTTTCTATTTATTTTATTTATTCATTTGCATAATGGAAAGAACTGCTATTTATAGTATATGATCGGAGCTATGTGTTTTAATAGGTGGGCACAGGTGTGACGAATTTGTTAATCACTGCACGAAAAGCTATCGATAAATCTTTCGCCGGTGAAGCTGAAGATGTGCCCATTTTATCAACAAGTGCTGCATATGGTGTCTATATGTCTGTCTCGAGCAATCTCAGGTATTCTACTTTTTTTAATACATATATATATATATATATATATATATATATATATATATATATATTAAGAACTAAATATATATTTGATAGGGGGTGTGTAAAAATAATCGAGGAAAACTGAACATTGTTCAAGCGTGTTTGAATTTTTATCGAGCTTTTATAAATTGTGTTTGAACTTATTGGTTTAATTATCAGCTGAATCGAGCTCGAGCAACTTGATTTTTTTTTTTCTAATACGTATTTTTGTCATTAATCTACATTTTATGTTTATAACAGGTACCAGGTAGTTGCTGGAGTTATCGAGCAGAGGATTCTAGAACCTCTGTTACACGAACAAAAGCTTCTACTCAGTGCAGTCTGCTTTGCTGTTCGAACTGGCAATACATTTTTGGGCTCATTAATGTAAGATTTATTAAATTTTTTTTTCAAAAAATAGAAAAATCTATTTTCATTTATCAGAAGTTCTTAGGATTAATTCGCACAATTACTACGTCTTGCCAGGTGGGTTGATTATGCCCGTTGGATCGGAATCCAGAAGATACGCGAGTAGAAAACGTCGGAGTTGGATTTTTGGCTGTTAAAATGCCTCGTTTTACAGATGTGTGTTTCCATGCTTTTTTTAACTCATATTTTTTTTTTTGTGATTTACATTCTGATTTTGTAATTGTATATTGTTTAGAATTACAAGTTTGTAATCAGGTTTGCGATTTCTTTTTCACGCCCGTTGGATCAAGAACCGTTGAGAAACAACGAGCCAGAATAAATCATCGATTTTTTTTCCCTTGAAAAAATACTAAATTTTATGTGGACCGTGGAAAAATATTTTAAATTGAAGTTTTAGCTAATTTTACATGATAGTTAATTCCATTACTGCTTACTTATCAAGACATAGGTCAAGGAATAACAATTTTATTTTTAACACAATAGTTACACATGCTACATAATATTTAACTATGGGTAAATTACAACCATCCCCTGAGATAAAGTTAAATTACGAAAAAATCTCTCATATTTGGATAATTATAACCATCAATTAATTATGAATTTTCTTACTCGTCCATTCTTATGATGTCAAATTTAGTTGAATTTTCTACATTATGTGGAATATATTTTCAGTTTGTGCTAATTTTACCTCATTCGATCTTCACATTCTAAAACAAGATGATCATAAGATGTGTATTTTAGCTTGTAAATATTAGATTGTCGTGCATCAAAAAATGCATTTTTGCACAAAACGAGTACAAACTAGTGAAAATTTAACAGAATTTAGAAGATTTTGTTGCATTTGACACCATAAAGGTGAACGAATAAGAAATCTTAATTGAAGGGGTGATTGTAATTAGCCAAACATAAAAGAGTTTTTTCGTAATTTGACCTTACTTTAGGGATTCGTAATTTACCCAAAAATATATTTACTCTTGATTCCTTAAAAAAATAAGGGCAAATTACGGTCACCCCTAGGTTAAGGTCAAATTACGAATAAAAATCCTCTTGTTTGGGTAATTGCAGTCACCTCCCTCAACTATGTTCTTACGAAAAAAAACTCTCTAGATGTAAATTTAGGAATATTAATTCGGTAAAAAACAGAACCGGAATTTCGGTACGCCAACATTTCATACCGTTTACCGAACCGAATAAACGATTTGGTTCGGTAAATAACCTAATTACGTAAATTTTATTGAAAATATTTAAAAAAAGAGTGTGACTGTAATTACCCAAACAAGAGGGATTTTTTCGTAATTGGACCTTACCTCACGGTGACCCGTAAATAATGAAAAGACACGTTTTTATTTTGAATAAAAGAAAAAACAGAAGAAAAAAAAGTATATACAAGACATTTACGAATTTGCCCCTGGTTTTCGTTTCCGTGGAAATTAGGTTCATTTCAACCGGTCGGCACGCCCCCAAATCAAAAATTCTGTCCAGAGAAACCCTAGAGCTGAAACATCAGCTTTTTATAAACCCTAAATTCAGAAAAAAAAAAAAAAATTAATCCCCCAAAGAAAGAATAGGAAAAATGACGCAGAAGGGGGATTTGTTCAAAGGGAAGCAGAAGAAGAAGTCAATTCCTCCAAGTCGCCATGGAAAAATCTGCCATACTCGAAAGGGTAAATTCTCAATCATAGATCGCGCAAGCTTATTTGTGTGTACAAAATTAAATCTGATTTTTAATTTGTGTTTTTTTGTGTTGTCTGCTGTAGGGAAGAGAGTTATAAAGCCGTCGAAGGTGACCAAAGAGATGGAAACTGATAAGGTATGCCTTTTTTCATTACATATTTTTTGCTTTTATATTTCTCATGATTCTGCAATTGTAATTTGTGTTAATACTTACAGTTTGGTTACTATATTTGTGGGTTTTTTTTTTTTTTTTTTATTTCGAGTATTATATGCTCAGTGTTAATGGAGTTATGTTTTGGTTGGTCCAAGATTGGGTTTTGATCCATCCTTTGCTGGTAGCAGTAATAACCTTACCCCCTGTCGATTCACAATTTTGCTAAACCTCGATTTATTATTTTTTATTTTTGTATTTTTTTTTTAATTAATTATAGACCGTGTAGGGAATGAGATAAAGATGAATTTTATTTATTAAAGAACGAGTGCCCTCTGTCTCAAAAGACGAAATTATGAATGTGTAACAAATATGTTCCTTTGAAGTTCGACAAATTTAACCCGTTCTTATGTATCAGTAAATCGCTATGTATTCGATATGCTGGAGTTACATAACCATACGCGAAAGTTTGTTATTGTCTTTTCGAGTAAATCAATTGCAGAAAACTTTTGATAAGCTTTTTGAGGTATTTTATTTGACAATTAAAAAGAAGATTGACCCTCAATAGAATATACTACAGTACCGGCTGTGTTTAATCGAGGAACTATGTAAAATGAAGGAAAAAAACATCAGTCCTTAAGTCAAGAATTCGCTATTCTCATTGAACCGATTGGTTGGTTGCATCGTTGAATTACTAGTTGTCGACAAATTACAAGTATGACACTGATGTGTCTTTATGCAAGATTTGATTATTTACATTGATATATTTTCTTCGTTCGCCTGTAGAATGTTTCTTTTAACAAATTTTTTATTTTTAATTTTGGATTTTAGGAGCTAAGTAAGTTTATAAATTACTGCAATGAGGTAAAAGCGGCGACGGTTGCTAACAAAGAAGGTGGTCAATTGAGCATTGTTAAACCACAGGCAGATTCGTCAACTGGTGGCAAGAAGTAGACGAAGCACAGCTGGCATAATTAATTTGTTTTTTGTGTTATAGAGGCGCAATTTTCTTCGACGTTTGAGAAAAAAAGTGTATAAGAATAGTAGTTCTGGTAAAATCGTGACCATCTTTCTGCTGGTTTATTTCGTTAGTGTTCTGGTCTGTGTTATATTTTTGGAACTGATTTTGCAGATTCTAGGATGCCTGAAAACTATGAACAGATTCAATATTCTTTACCTCGTTCGATTGTTATTCTGAAATGTGAGTTTGAGTTCATACATTTGAAAATCTGATTAAGTGAATGAACGAAGGTCGGATTTTATACAAGGTTTATTAACTCATTCCGACCTATTTGCTGATTTTGGGATTACTCAGATTTTGAGCAACTGCAATAAGAATCTGGATGGAATCATGTTGGAAGATTCTTCATTGAAATATACTGTAATTGAGAAAGAAACAACTTATTATTATCATCATCGAAATATTTCAGAGTCCGATTTGACAAGCTCAACAACTCAATTTCACACATAAAGCTGTTCGAAACCAAATTACGCACAAAATCAGTTGTTGCTTTATAGCAACCTAAAAGAAAAAAAAAATCTATAGTTACACGACATTATCACCTTAATAGGTTTACTTCTGATAGCAAATCAACCCCCCAAAAAAATACGAACGATCATGTTTGAGTTGCAACTGAGTGCACGACTGCTTGTACACAAAATTTTCAGTCAAACAAGCACAAAAAAATAAACGACGACTCTAGAATAGGCAAAAGGCATTTAAAAAGCATGTCTTTAGACGGTTCTTTTGCTACGTTTTTAATATATCCAAGCTACCAAACCACAGCATAGTAAGTACACAAGTAGGTCTATATGCCGATGAATCTTTCCAACTTAATAGGCAAAATATATAACTAAACCTTGACCAGTGAAGTAATTCTAATCAACTAGGTTCGGGTCGCTGTTGAAGGCTTTTCATCGGCAGAACAACATCCACCACTATGGTGGTGGTGGTGGTGGTGGTGGTTGTTGTGTTGTTGGTGGAGGTGCTTCATACTCTTCAACTGTTTTCTCATATCGTAAGCGTCTTCCCCATCGGCGTAATATCTTGCTTCAATGTCGTGAATCCTGTACCCCAGTGTTCGAGTGTACAGATTAACTGCAGCCCTGTTACCTCTCCGAACATGCAGCGAAACGTACTCTGCCCCATGCACCTGTTCAAGAACCAGAATCAAAAACCCATGACAAATCGGCTACAAAAGTAGATAAAACTAGTATCTTATATAACAAACTAACTCTTCTGGTATACGATTTCCAGGGCAAAACTAACTGAAGAACAGTCACAAGTCATACAAGAAAATTCAGCAACGTAACTCTATAGTCCACAGTTATAATCTGTGAAAACCTGCAACTTCTAATCCAGAAACGAGATACACATGAGAATATCCTTAAAAACTAGTGTCTCCCTAATTACAAGCTCGTGTAGGATATCAAAAGTAACTCTAGTTTTATTTCAAGGGAAAACATGAAACAGGCAGTATGAATTTGATTCTATGAGAACTTTACACTATTCGAATTCATTTTTTTTTTTTTTTGATGATATTGAAACACTTTAAAAGATAATACACCTAGAGATTATTTTACCATAAACATATATAATAATTTTCATTAATTTATTTTTTCTTCAAATTCTTGCATATATCGAAATGGATCTTTGCATTAGGATGAGAATTACATATACCAAAAAAAAATTTAAAATCAGACATAAGGACTTCAAGGTAGTCCTAAAGAACAAGTATCTACGTTCCACGATCCACCAATTTCCGATTAGTTAGTTTCGAATACTTAAATTAAACAAATATACTCATCAACATTGTCACTGTCATAATCGATATCGAAACAAATATAACACAAGAATTCCGAATATATGGACTTCAAATATCGATATCTAAAATCAAACATACGGACTTCAAGATAGTCCTAAAGAACAAGTATCTACGTTCCACGATCTACAAATTTCCGATCAGTTAGATACAAATACTTAAATTAAACAAATACACACATCAACATTGTCACTATCATTATCGATATAGAAACAAATATAACACAAGAACTCCGAATATATGGACTTCAAGGTAGTCCTAAAGATATCGAATTCCAAAATCGTAGTCCTAAAGAACAAGTATCCACATTCCACGATCCACCAATTTCCGATTAGTTTTCTTTCAAATACTCAATCAAACAATATATGCTCATCAACATTGTTACTGTCATAATCGATATCGAAACAAATACAACACAAAGAACTCCGAATATTAAATTGCACGGCTGAGGCAAAAATCCAAACATCCAAATCGTCTAATAATCAAAATTATTCAGCATCAAGGAATACAAATTAGCAGTGCTCAAATTGAAAGAAAAAAAAAATAGAAAAATTCAAATTATCAAAGCGGACCTGTGCCATGGCGGTTTGAGCGGCGGTCATGAGTTTGGTGGCGAGACCGAGTTTGCGGTGAGTTCGGAGAACGGCGAGAGAAGTGATGTGGCCGTGGCAGTCGGTGGATTCCTCCTCCATCTTGGCGAGAACATAGCCGACGATTTTGGAGTTGTAATCCTCCGCTACGTAGAGGAGCTGCGGCCATGACAGGATGTGGTACAAATAGTACTTCATCTGATAATTCTCCGGCAGGCAAATTAAATTGCACTCCTGCATCGCCAGCAAGTCATCCGCCCTCGCCCTTCTGATGCACACCATGCTTGCCGTTGATCTTTCCGGCGGTGGATTAGGGTTTGGGTTTTGATTTTTGATTTTGGGGAAAATGGTGGAGACTGGAGAAGATGGGGCCCGGTACGGGTATTAATTAATATATTTATTTATATACTATATATATACATTTACATCTAATTAAATTGATTTTAGGAAAAAAAATTCAAATTCCTACTATTTTTATTCGAAAAATAAATAATTTTTTATTTTCGAAAAACAAAAAATTAAATTTTGAATTTCTAAAATTCTCGCAACGAAGTTATACTAATGCCCTTTGAAATATTTGAGGTTATTTTTATGCTACACCTGGTGAAGACTATAATGGGTGATTTTTTACCGTTGATCTGCACAGTGTGTGTGTATATGAATGGTAAAGATCTACCCAATGTATTTCACTCGGTGTAGCATAGAATACACCAATAAAAAAATTAAATAATAAAAAAATTAAAAAAAAAAATTAGATGAGCCCGAGCTCGAGCCAAAAAAAATTGGCTCGATGAGCTCGAGCTCGAGCTGGCCAAAGGAGCCGAGCTCAGCTCGTTACCACCCCTAACTGCGCCTCCTATTATTTTAGAATCATTGATAAAAACTTGTTAAAATTAGTAAATATTTATATTTTTTTAATAAAAAAATATAAGTTTTCGTATTATTATTTGATATTGTAGTAACAAGTAGGAAAATAATATAAATTTTTATAACAATATGAAGAAGAAGAAAATGTTGGGTGGCAAAAGCACATATTTATATAATATTGTACCAAAAATGTTAATAAAAAAAATTATTTATATTTTTTTTCTGGAGAGGCAGCGGTCCCCAGCTCTCACATAGATACGCCATTGTAAACCACACTAGACTAACCATGTGTGACAAGTTCGAACCTGCTCCAACCGCTAGGTCATCTCTTACTGGACGTAATTTGAATTCGTCATTAGTAATGAAATTTTTAGTGCCGGGAGATGACGATGGGTGAATGTAAAAGTAATAAAGCGAACGAAATAACATGTGGCGAACACCAGGGCCCACCCAGCAAGGTCTACGAAGTATACGCATCGCATAAAAAAGAACACTATAAATAGTAACAACGAACCATCGACACATCGAAACAAAAACACTACATAATGTCATTTAACTACTGAACTTCCAGACTCTGATGTCGGTGTCATTGTGTGCAGTAACAACTTTCTGCATTCCAACAGCCAAACACTGTATCGGAGGTAGATTCGGCATTAGATCGATCCTTTCATCTTCCGATAGCCTAATCCCTTTCTTTCTTTCAACTAATAATCCCTTCTTATTATTATTATTATTATTATTATTATTATTATTATTATTATTATTATTATTATTATTATTATTATCTGTCGGACGACGATTTGATATGTTCCGATTTTCTTCCAAGATGCACCTGGAAATTACTTGGCCATTATTCTGATCGACGATTCTTAATATGCCATCTATCCCACCGACAACTAATGTCGATTTATCGTTGTTCAAGTGGTGCATGGAGTAAAGCACGTTTGAACTAACTCGTGTTTCCCATATTCTTCTCAATGTTCTGTTTAAAATTAAAAAAAAAAGGATTAGAAACTGGGTTTGGTATTTTTTTTTCGGGTTTATTCAATCGTTAGCACCGAACAAGATGCATATACCTTAAGTCCCAACAAGATGCATAGCCTGCACTTGATCCAGCAAATACTGAATAGCTTGGGCTCAAACACAAAGTCTTTATGCCTGACGAAAAAAAAAAAATCGAACAAATATAGGTAAAGATCGATACTAATAGTTCAATACAAAACGAACGAGTACGACAAATATAATAATACGTCGCTAAACCTGAAGAACCAGTTGTCTCCAAGGTAGCAACGTGTTGATCTGATGAAAGATCCGATATCGAAATGCTACCAAGAGATGAACCGCTGACTATCAATTGCTCGTCGGTGAAAGATAAAGATGATACCGCACCTGGATGCATCCTAAAACAATGATAACGAAAATTAACAGAAATATAATGTATGAGATTCGTATGTTCTCGAATCAGAGGACTGGAGTAATAAAACTATTTTTTATATGGTGACTGGAGCCGTTTTACGGCAAAAGAAACCTGCCAAGCTTAAAGTAGCCTTTAAAAATATAAAAAAGTTAGAGAGGACAGGAACTCGAGCAAGGATATTTACTTGATTATTTGTGAAATCTTTCTGCTATACATGTCAAATACACGTACTTTTCCATCCTCGCACCCAATCACTGCATGTGGGTCGACATAACTGCAAAAAATAAAAATTTAAAACGGCCCTTTCAGCAAATATTTTGCACATCTTGAATTAATGTCGTAAACTGTATATTATGACTATCTAAACAAAAAGCATCATTTGTGAATAGAATGAATTGACACCCACCGCATACACAATCCCCTCGTAAACAAGCCTTCGCGTGAACAGAACAGATCTCTTGTCCCAACGCGCCTCCATATACATACACGAGTCCCCACAAGACCAACAACCTATAGGATAATAAGCAAAGAAAGGCTATGCGTTCAGTTTTCACGCTAGATTCAAAATAAACTTTCTCGTCAAGTTATATTAAAAACCAACGGAGGCCCAAATAGAGCAGATAAAATGATGAGGAAACTCTGTCGATGAAATCATTCTCCGGTCACTACTAAGCTGCTAACGATGACTCAACAACCTCAGATGTACAAGGCACAAAGTATTTGAACAATTACAAATTTGCCCCTTCAATTGCATTCTACAAATAAGTGAGCAGATAATATCGAGATAATACTTCCATGGCCAATTTCAGCTAAAAATACACCATTTGTCTTTCCACCACCTAAACATACAATATTATATGGGAATCATCAAGAAGATTCATCATTACCTTTCCCTCGTCAAAGTCAAAATCAATTAGCGGTGCTTTATCAGGTAACCGATATTCATCCAACGCTTTGCAGCTCTCTGCAGACCATAGACGCATCACCTGTCATTTTTAGGAGTAAAAATAAATAAAAGGGACCAGCAAAATGCACCTCAGCTTGAAAGAACGAAGCAATCTACATGCCATGCAAAAAACGGGAAGGAAATTGCACGCCGGATTTAATCTAACTAATAAGGCCTAGGGTTGATACGTAGCCTCTACTATTAGAGTAGAAATCTAGGGTTCAAATCCTGCCCCTCCCCTACTTCCCCAATTTGTAACAAGATTTAAATTTTCTTTTTTCAAATGTGAATGTAACCTACCTTATCTCCGACGCCAGTGAGAATCAAACCCATCTTCATTCTGCATTTGCTAAACCTAATAAGAAACCAGGATGAAGAAAGTCATTCAGAAAGTTACGCATTCAACGAAAACTTGAGCCCTCAAAAAGAGATACAAAATGTACAAGAATTTCAAATGATGGAAAGAACTATAACTCGAAAACAGGCTCGTTCAGACAGTAACTTCAATACTGAACTCTGAAACTATTACTCCTCGATTTGGTTAAGGAAAACTATATAGTATCTATCGATGAAATGATACATATGCCCTATAACATATTTAAGTCCATTATAATCTATAAGGATCTCGAGATGTAATTGGTCGAACAGAGCACAAAATCGACGTGCAATTTGTTTACTACTTACATTGATAAACTTGATACAAGTTAAAGCTAATTAATTTCCGAATCAATTCAAAAATAATCAAATACTCGATATCAATAGAACGGAAGAGATAAAACGATTTACCCTACCGAGTGAGCTTTCCACTTGAAAACATCAACCGGACCTTCTTGTAACGACAATCTTTGTCGATCCATAGCTAGCTGCTCCATCTGTCTATTTATCGATGTTTCCGACAAATTCGACACGTCAGAAACACTACCAGATTCTGCATGTTGTTGCTTGTGATACTGTATTTGCAATAACTTCAGTTTACGAATCACTGTGCTCCTTCACCCATTGAAGAAAGTAAAAATAGGTAAGTGATTGATCTAACTCCATAAAAAATAAGGGTAAATTACAACCACCCCTGAGGTATGATCAAATTACAAAAAAAAAACCCTCTTGTTTGGATAGTTACATCTAGCCCTCAACTATGAATTTCTTACACTTACACCCTTATGGTATCAAATTCAACATAATCATCTAGATTCCGTGGAATGTTCTTTAGTTTGAACTCGTTTTGTGCAAAAATACAGTTTCTGATGCCCGACAATCTGATACATACAAGCCAAAAAACACATCTTACGATCATCTTGCTTCAAAATGTGGAGCTCAAATGGGATAAAACGGGTACAAAATTGAGAATATTCTATATAATCTATAATATTCCTCTAAATTAGAAACCGCAAGGGTCGACGACGTATAAGAAGATTTATAGTTGAGGGGTGGTTTGGTTTTCGTAATTTGACTATACCTCACTGGTGGTTGTAATTTACCCTAAAAATAAAACTAAATTTTAAACTGTTTCAATTTTTTCCCCAATTCAATTGTTCGGATGACGTCATATCTAAAGGTTTTTTTAAAAATGAAATTACAAAATAATTATTTGTATTTTGTAGATAAGTTTATAGCAAGTATTAAATGTTGAGAGGAGCGAATTACCATGATTTGCAGACGGCGGAGCAGCGAATAAGGTGGACAAGGTCGAGAAAAGTGAAAATCATGCTAAGAACATCGTTTCCGAGTGCCTCTACGGTGGTTTTCGGGGCCCGTCGCCGCTTCTTCACCGGAGCGGCGCCGGCCGAAGCCGTCGTCTCCATAACTTTTTGCCTGCGTAACGGTCAGCTATTTTTTTTTTCCGTTTTTCTCTCTCTTAATTTTAATTTTTGTTTTTAGAAAAAGAAAAATTGGAAGGGGATTGAAGGATAAGGCCCACTATCGGTTGGGCTTTCATAATTACTTGAAATTACTGAGAATTTCAATTTGAGAATAAAGGACAATTAAAAATAAATGATGTGTACACGATTAGTTATTTACAGTATAGTCCTTTAACTTTTTAGCTAGTAAGTTACATTCGTTGTTGCTTGCGACGTTTCCTCTGCATAGGCGGCTAATAGTGGACGAAGATTCATTTTTTTCAAATTTATGTCAACTGGATGCTCCTCGTGGTGCAATCCTATCACTATCGATAACTCCTCTGAGAAAAATGGGAGATTTACTCTATTTTACCTTACTAAATACAAATCCAGTTGTTTCGAGAAGGTATTGTTTCAACAAATGTCGCACCTTGGTAATATTATGACCTAGTTTGGTCATGTTTAGGAAGTTCCCAAACGTATTCGATTTTCGGGCATTAAATTGCATAGCCCCAATATTTTGATTAACGTCATTCATTTATTTTGAGAAGTAATAAGGGGAGCATCGAGTGTCCATAGAATTTTCCAAATTAGGACCCATTTCAGCAACAAGCAAAACACGATGTACTTATTGAATTACCAGCAACACGATGTGTCTTTGTTCATATAACTGTTATTTATTTACATTGAAACCGGTGTGCGTAAATGAACAGTAAATTCCCTGTAGTATACTTTTAACTTTACCATGCGTCTCATACATTTGGCCACGCGTGAGAATGCGATTGGTAATGATAAAATAACCGACTCTGTACGCCAAACTCGTGTTTGGGTCCACGATCGACATAATTTACGCCATCGGTTTCTTTTAAAATATTTCTTTAGCAAATTATTTTTA